TTCGTGGAACACAGATCCTAGTCCTTTAACTCTGCAACAGAGAGCCACAGAGGGTCATTATGTGGATGCATTGGTGCAGATCTACAAACTTCCTTTCTCCAAATTCATGCACTCACATCACATGGTAGTTGGTGCAGCTGATGTTAGCTGTGACCGTAACCAGCATTTCCGGGGTGAAACTGGGGAGGATGGGGATGAGCTTCACAGTGAACCACGTAACCCAGACAGAGGCCTCAAATTCCTGGATCTTCGATCTGATGATTATGAAGGTTCGGTTCATCATCACGTCTCTCGCGGCAGGGGTGATATCGGGAGTCTGCAAAAACAGAAAACCAGGACTGTGAACGGCACTGTAAGAGAGTACCGTACTTTGGGCTATTCTCCACGGCATCAATGCGATCTCTGTCAGACACTTTGACTTATTGACTTGCCTCGGGAGCTGCGCTCAGTGCCGTCAGAAACTCCTCCACGTTCTGGAAAGCGTCGCCTTCCTCCAGTCGGTCGAACACAGCGCTGATCTGGTTGGTGTTGTTCAGTACTCCAGAGCTCAGTGTGAGTTGAGCTACTTGGGTAGGGGTCAGCAGTGCCAGTGATGCAAGCTAAAGCACACCATGGACACAGATTCAGAAGTTTATGTTTAAAAAAAAGAATAATAATAAAATAAACATTTTTTAAATAAATGACACGTCACACGAGCTACTGGAGCAAGCCAGAAAAAGTTACTCACACTGGAGAAATTTCCATTCAGGGACTTCAAATCCTCCAGGTCAGCGTAGCTGGAGAAATTGCCAATGTTCTTCTCAAGCCAGTCAGCACTGCTCGTAGTTTTGGAAAGACAGGCAGGATCTGGATTGAACACAGAGCATTGGGGGAATGGGTTAGGGTTAGGGTTAGGGTTAGCACCACTGAATTGTAAGCAAGCTGAAATAACTGTGACAAGCTGAGACGTTGACGGACGCTTAGGGAACTACAGCGCGAGAGATGACAACTCAAGGCAGTGATGGCACTAAAAAGTACCTTTTAGGTCGTCTCTCGACAAGAAGCGCTGGATGAATTGAGTGAAGACGGCCCGTTTCTGCTCCTCCGCCATGAGGATGCCTGACGACCGAGAGCCTGCACCCTGAATCAGGAAAGATCAGCGAACGTCACGGATTGCCAGACCTAACTCCGCTAAACACCGCTTGAGGATTTCCACAGCACTGAGCATACTTACACAACTTGGTAGGTGTCGCAACTGAAGTTCTTGGAGCTAAGGCAGGACAGAAAGTCCCTAGAGACTGCTGACAAAAATGGCCTCAGCCTGTCCTGGAACCAGGCGGCAACGAAGCCGGCATCCGTCAGCTGTGCAGCGCTGAAGTTGTTGACTTTCACCTCTCCTATGGCATCGAGAACATGGGACTGAGGCTGACCGTTGGGTAGGGTCTGTAAAAATAATGGGGCATGTCAATTCAGAGCTCTGAGGCAGCACTCCATTTTCTCTTCCATAAAAAGCAGGGGCGTCGCCTACCATGTTGGAGAACTTTGACAGAGCATCCTCCAGAACTCCTGCCACTTTCAGGAAGAAAAGCTTCCACGTCTCTGTGCTCGTGCCACTTGGCACCTTGCAAGTCAGCAGCGTGAAGATGTCATCAGAGGACAGAGATGATGCAACCTTGAAAGAGGTGGACAGATTTAAGCAGTCAGATACACAGGACACTTTTCAAAGACAAGCACTCGGGTGCAGAGCTCATGGAGGACTTACCGAAGAGCAGGCATAATCAGAGATGTTGAAGTCGCACAGCCCAGCCGAGGAATTTTCAGACAGACGCTGAGCCTCAAGTTGACCACTGCCAGGCACAAAAGCATGATTCCCATTTACAACACTTTCTGAAGCCTACCTCTGCTTTCAGTAGATACCAAACCAATACTCACCGGTTAACATCTTGACACAGCCTGTTTTCTGTAAAGGAAGAAAAAAAAAACAAGATCAGATGGAGAACTTTCACATACTATCTTATGAGTTTATTGCAAAATGACTCGATTCCATCAATCGCAAACTGCCGTTGTGTGTTCTGACTTACCATCTACTAATGTTTCATTGCACTATTGCGAGAGAAGATGAAGCAGAAAGAAAAGAGAAAACAATTATGAACAGCTTCTCTTGGGCTTTAACTCAACTCATTAGCCATCTTAAACAATGAAGTACTTACGAAACCGACGGGGCGAGGAGGCGTACAGTCTGAAGAGAAGCCAAGAAAAAAAGAGATTTCGGGTCAATAGGAGGCCACTGGCATATGGCTTACACACACATGCATTTAGTCAGAATTTCTTTGTCATGCCATACCTTCTCCTTGTGACTGTACAAGTTGGTCTACACTGGACTTGAGCTCCGCTTTAAGTCCAGATGGGAGAACTGCCAAAGCCGTCTCCAGGCCTTTCAATCTAAAGAAACATACAAAATGCAGATCTTTCAGTGCTTGTTTCTCCAGACTGCATACAAACTGAAAACCAAAGGTGCCAGGTTTCTCACATTGCACTGTAAGAGTCACAGGTGAGGTTGGTGGGGATCACCACCAGAACTGAAGGACGGAAGCTGGCCAGCAGGACCACGAGATTGATTTGAAACCACAGCTCGTAGTCACTCGTTTGGAAGAGGGGGAATTTGGGAGCCAGAGCAGTCAAAGTCAGGTTCAGCATTGTGTCTCGGACTTCCACGTTTGTGATGTAGGTGACGTTTTCCTGGAGGAGGGAGGGAAACAGAGCCTTCTTGTTCAAGAGCATCACAATCATGGTCTAGGCCAATTAGGATAATCAGGTTCATCAAATGAAAAAAAAAAAACTCACCTCCTTGCTGACTTCCACAAATTTTTCAAAGAATTTCTCAAGCTGATTCTCATCTGGGGATTTTAGGATGCTGCTCAACACCTCCTTCACCACGGTCACATTTTCAAGAGCACCGGTGGACGGATCCAACAGCAGCTCGGCTTTCTGATCAGGTGACAGGGTTTCCAGAGCTGCCACCTGAGGTGAGCATAACACCAAGGAAATAGCAGGAAGGACTGTCAGCGCTCTGCTTTCTGCCCAACACTTAAGCACTAGTACAAGTGCCAATCAAATTCTCTATTAAAGCTGTATGACAACAGAAACATAAGAGAAGGTTGGTATTTTACCCCGCTGACGTTCAACTCCTTAAGGTCCGAGTAATTGGCCAGTGTGGTGAATGGGCCCAAGTTGGCCTTAAGCCAATCAGCATCGCTGGCAATGTTCTGTCTGCAACCTGTTTTTAAAGATAGGGGTGGAGGAAGATCAGTCTGCATTCCTGCACTGTTATGAAGTTGACACACACAACTACGGTGAGCTGTCAGCTGGGGGGAAAAAAAATCCCACTGCAACGCACTCTATTCTGGCAATAGAGGGATGCCGCAGAAGCGTGCTTTGGAAAGGCCTACCTGGAAGGCTAAATTGGGTGGCAAATTTCTTCAGGTGCTCCACCAGAACTTTGGTTATCTCCTGCGTCCTGATGAGTGTCATTTCGTGGAACACAGATCCTAGTCCTTTAACTCTGCAACAGAGAGCCACAGAGGGTCATTATGTGGATGCATTGGTGCAGATCTACAAACTTCCTTTCTCCAAATTCATGCACTCACATCACATGGTAGTTGGTGCAGCTGATGTTAGCTGTGACCGTAACCAGCATTTCCGGGGTGAAACTGGGGAGGATGGGGATGAGCTTCACAGTGAACCACGTAACCCAGACAGAGGCCTCAAATTCCTGGATCTTCGATCTGATGATTATGAAGGTTCGGTTCATCATCACGTCTCTCGCGGCAGGGTGATATCGGGAGTCTGCAAAAACAGAAAACCAGGACTGTGAACGGCACTGTAAGAGAGTACCGTACTTTGGGCTATTCTCCACGGCATCAATGCGATCTCTGTCAGACACTTTGACTTATTGACTTGCCTCGGGAGCTGCGCTCAGTGCCGTCAGAAACTCCTCCACGTTCTGGAAAGCGTCGCCTTCCTCCAGTCGGTCGAACACAGCGCTGATCTGGTTGGTGTTGTTCAGTACTCCAGAGCTCAGTGTGAGTTGAGCTACTTGGGTAGGGGTCAGCAGTGCCAGTGATGCAAGCTAAAGCACACCATGGACACAGATTCAGAAGTTTATGTTTAAAAAAAAGAATAATAATAAAATAAACATTTTTAAATAAATGACACGTCACACGAGCTACTGGAGCAAGCCAGAAAAAGTTACTCACACTGGAGAAATTTCCATTCAGGGACTTCAAATCCTCCAGGTCAGCGTAGCTGGAGAAATTGCCAATGTTCTTCTCAAGCCAGTCAGCACTGCTCGTAGTTTTGGAAAGACAGGCAGGATCTGGATTGAACACAGAGCATTGGGGGAATGGGTTAGGGTTAGGGTTAGGGTT